CATGTGTCGAGAGCTGGGTTTTGAAGGATGAATAGGAGAGCTCTGGGCACATAAAAATGTGGGAAGAGAATGGCAGGCAGAGGTGGCAGCATATGGAAAGTTTGGAAGCAGATAAGTGCTGCTGCTCTGGCTGTGTGTGTGTGTGCATGTGCGTGTGAGCATGTATGTGTGTGTGTGTGTGTGTGCATGTGCGTGTGAGCATGTATGTGTGTGTGTGCATGTGCGTGTGAGCATGTATGTGTGTGTGTGTGTGTGTGTGTGTGTGTATGTGTGCGTGTGAGTGTGTGTAGAGTCCCAGGGTGTGCATCTGGAGATGCAAGTGGAATCCTGGATACAAAAGGTTGTCTACACCCAGCTACGGAGGCTGGGTTGATTCTGACCCCCTTCATTTCCTGGAGGGTGACATCAGTGCCACTGGAGGTGAGGGCACTTCCTGGCTGAATGATTTCAGGTGAGACATCAAACTCATGATTTCACAGGGATTTAAAAATAGTATATTATTTTGTTTCCTTTTAGAGATAAATGTGTATAAATCAAAAAAAGCAAGTTAACCTGAAGAAATACATTAGGTAAATAATAAATACAGGTGAAACCAGGGCAGACGTTTGGTAAATGCTGCAGAGGAGAGTGGGAGCCACAGCAAGGGCAGAGTGAGGGAGGAGCATGGTGAGATTGGCTCTCCGAAGGCCCGCTATGGGCTCAGCTGGATTGACTGGGACGTGCTCGACTGGAAGGCATGAGGCCAGGGCCTGTGGGACGGGGAGGATGGGAGAATCCAAAGGCCTGGGAGTCTGATTGGATGTGGGAATGGAGTGGGCAAGGAGTTGGGGGAAGCCCTCACTTGGGGCTTGAAGGCACCAGGCTGCTTCTACCAGGATGTGCCAGGGCTGGGCACGTTAGAGCAGCTGCCCTCTCTTCTTATTTATGTCAGTGAAACAAACTTTGCAGACCTCTTGTGGCAGAAAGGTTCCTTTCCGTGTCCCCAGTCCGAGGCTGTAGCAGACGTGGCTGGCGTCCTGCCCGTACCCTTCCTTTGGCCCATCTCAGAAGTGGCCCGCAGATAGCACCACGCTCACCAGCGGCTCATGCGTCTCTCTGGCCAACAGCATTCTCTGGCCAGAGCCAGCTCGGCCTCCACACGCCCCAGGACTCGCCCGGACAGCGGAAGATGGGAGCTGGGTCAACGGCCCAGGTCGTGCTCTTGGTGGGACAGCTCTGAGGTGTGTTCCGCACAATCTCCCGGCGGGGTCCCAGCTGGACTGAGCCCCAGCTGCTCGCAGCAGGAACCCACCCATTAAGGCTGCCTTCCCTTCCCTCGCTGGTGTCCCCACTCTCAAATTGTGCTTCCTGGGACCCCCTCCCAAAGAACCCCCCTGCACCCACCTATTTGCCTCAGGCTCTGCTTTCATGGGAACCCCAAAGCAAGACAAAGAAGCAAGAAATGTCGGGGTCCCCCCTATTTCCCCAGCCTCTTCTAGAGCTGCAGACATCACTTGTCCAGATGGACCCGAGAGCGCACGTGGGTCCTAGTAGCCTGCCACCTCCAGCAGTCTTGGTGGGCACAACCAGAAAACCACAATTGGGGTGACGGAGAGGCTGGCCCTATTTTTTATTGTTTTAGTTAAGTCAGAAATTGGCAGCCTTGGGTACATGCCAGCATAAGCTTTGTTTCTGTTATTCAAGGTGTGGAGGGAGAGGCCATCTTGCCCCAGGGCCTTTGCACTTGCAGGGCGCACTGCCTGGCATGCTTCCCCTGAGAGATCCCCAAGTCCAGAGGCCTCCTCTCATTCAGGTCTCAACTCAAAAACCACCTCCTCAGGGAGTCGCCATAAATATACCCCCTACTCCTTCATCCTACTGTCTTCACAGCTCCCAGCATTGTATCTTTTAAAAAATGAACTTTACTGAGATGTAATTTACACGCTGCGACATACGCTCATCTGAAGTGTACGGTGTGATGAGTTTTGGCCAGCACCTATGCCCTGGTAAACGCCGTGCAATCGGCGGTTCCATCATCCCGGACAGCACGGTCGGAGGGCTCCCTCCTGCCCTGGGCGCTCAGTGATGCGCGCTGTGCACTCTAGCTCAGCTCTCCTCTTCCCGGATTTCACATACTTGAAATAAGTTGGCATATTCTCTTTTGCATCTGGCTTTTTTTTGCTCAGTATAATGTGCTTGAGATTCCTACAGGTTTTCGTGTGTGTCGTAGTTTGTCCCATCTTACTGCTGAGCTGTGTTCCACGATATGAATATGCCAGGTTGCTTATCCGTCCTCCTGTTGACGGACACCTGGGCTGTTTCCAGTTTCCAACTCTTGGGAATAGAGTGGCTATGAGTATTTACCTGCAAGTCTCAGTGTCAGCATAGGGACACAACGTGTTCATTTCTCCTGGGACACCTAGCAGCGGAAGGCATTATATACCTAGGCATTATGTGACCTATTTGCTTAATTTTCTCTGGTCCACCCTCCCCAGGGAGGTAAGCTCGGTGAGGAGAGGGACTCTGCTCGCCACAGGATATTGCACAGTGCCAGGAAGCGCGTGGCATGTGGTAGGTGCTCAGCAAGTCCACGCTGAATGAAGGAAAAGGCAGCGAGCCTGGTTTCCAAGCGGAAGGGCTCCAGGCCAGGGATGTGCTGTCCGTCTGCGTCCTCCCCAGCTGCGGGCTCCCGCTGAAGTCCCTGCGGAGCGGAGCCTGGACACTTTTGTGACCCTATCGAGGCTCCCAAAGGGGAAGAACACCCGCACCGGAGGAGAATGCACGACCAGGGCACACCAAGGGGCTCTAACTCACACCCAGGTGTTCCCCGAGGGCTTCCTGCGACGCTGAGATGGGGCCAGGGCATCCTCGCCTTCTCTCTTCTCCCTTAGGACCTGGCCTGCCCTGGCATGGGGTGCTCATGCGGGCCGGCCTCTCCCCTTCTGCTTCCCAGCCCGGGAGGGGCCTCCAGGGCGCGCATGCACGTGGACAGCCCGGCCCGCACACCCAAGCTCTGTCCCCGCGTTAGGGCGGGTCTGGAATCGTTGAGGCTGGTGGGTGTCTGTGTCTCTGTGTCTGTGCATCTGTCGCCATCTGCAGCGCCGGGTGGCACAGCAGACCCCTGGGGCCGCCCTCCGCCTGCAGAGGCGCCCGCGGCGGGAGGTGGGTGCAGAGCGGACGCGCGCGGCGGAGAACGGCCTGCCCGCCCGCCTCGCGCCAGCAGGGGGCGCCGGCGCTCCGCGGAGGGGCCGAGAGCCCGCGCGGGCGCTGAGAGCCCCTGGAGCCTCCGGGTCCCTGCGGCTGCTCAGAAAGGGAAACTGAGGCCCAGGGAGGCGAAGGGAGGCTATTCAGACCTCCTAAGTCCAAGTATCCAAGTCCCAAATTCCTCCTCGCCAAACCTCCCTCTAGACCTGGGGTGGGGAGAGAGGGTGGGGGTCTCCAGGAAATGCGGTGGGAGAACGTTCTCTAACTGGGTTCAGACTTGCTCCGAGGCAGGTGGATGGACCCAGTGACCTCTCAGCCCCCTCGGGGACCTTCATCAGCTGCAGGGAAGTCTGCGAGCCCAGGGGTGAGGTCTGCAGGGCAAGGCTGGGGGACTTGCCCAAAGTGGGGGAGGGGGAGTCGTTTATGCATCTGTTAAATGGGGGTGTGGGGACCAGGCGGTTCCGGTTCTCTCCCTGTTTTTCTGCCTCATCCTAGCTCAGGCCAGAGGCTTAGGAGGTGGCCGGACCGTGTCCCGGGGGCGCCGCCCTTGCGCTGTCCGGAGCCGGCTGGCTCCTGGCCCTGCTCGCTTGGGCGATGGCGCGGTCGCCTGGGCCAAGGGCGTGCGTTTCCGTCACCTGAGCAGCCTGACTCGAAATGACGAATGGAGCCCATCCAATATTGCCCTCCTCCCCCCCCCCCCCCCTTGGTCTTCCAGGAATTCATGTCGACTGCCCACTGGGAGCCAGGTTGGTGCTGGGAGACATCGGTGAACAGGAGGACGAGCCTCTGGCCCCAGACACCCCCCACCCAGAGGGAGGAGACAGACTGTCGAACAAGCGAACAACAAACGAGCCAACAGTTACAGATTGTGATTGAATGCTGCGAAGGAAACCAAGAAAGGGCGGACGTGCAGGCTCAGCGCGGAGGGGCGGCCGCCCTTAGCCGCAGCTGTCAGAGGGTCCCTGTGATGAGGCCGCGTTGGAGCCAGGAGCTGGAGGACGGGACGGAGCCAGCCACGCGCAGGCGCGGCAAGTGGAAAGGGTGACACAGGACAGGGAAAACGATCGGACTCGTGTTTTTAAAAGCTCCTTCTGGCTGCTGGCTGGAGAGTGGGCTTGGCGTGAGTGGGAGGTCAAAGACCAGGGAGGAGGCTGTTGCCACGATTCGGGGCAGAGGCGCTGGCCGCTCAGACTGGGCTGGCAGCCGTGGAGGTGGTGGGTTCCCGGTGTATTTAAATGTACGGTTGATGGATCTTGCTGTCAGATGTAAGATAAGGGACAGGGAGGAATCCAGGGTGACACCTGGAAAAGTTGGGGAGTTGGAAGTGCCTTTTGCCAGTGTGGGAACGGTGGGAGAAAAGCAGGATGGGGGTGTGTGAAAGGATTTAAGGGATTCCAGGACGGAGCCCAGTCCTCCCTCCACATGCCCGGCCTGTGCGGGTGAGCTGTGGCTGTCAACACAAAGGTCGAGGCTCCCAAACTTGGCCCAGCCTCAGTGTCACCTGGAGTTTCGGTAAATATGATTTCTGGACCCATCATCTCCTGACTGGGGAGTTCTCAGGTTGCCGCCACGAGGGGGTCCCTGCCCCAGAGCTCGGGATTCCTGCTCCCACTAGGACTCCAAGGACCTCTGTCCTCCCCTCCCAGGTGGCCAGACCCAGGTGAGGGAAGAGGCAGTGTCGGGAGAGTTAGGACGGAGCCCCGAGAGCCAGGAATGGAGAGGCTGCTGGGGCGTCAGAGACGCCAGGAAATGCCAGGGAAAAACAAGCCACCTTTTTACTGTGACCTCATTTCTAAATAATCACAGCTACCAAGGAACACACTAATCTACCTCCCAGGAAGTGGTTGGGGGAGCGCCAAGAGGAGCTGGAGTGACAGCAGGGCACAGAGGCTGCAGTCCTTGCACCGTGCACTTGCAGAGGTGAGGGTGGGGAGGGCTGAGGCCCTGGGCTCACTCCACGCTAAGTCTGGCGGCTGTGAGCAGCCCGGGCCACGCCGGACCCCTCCCACTAGTGGGTCTCAAATGGCCAAAATGCCCCTTGCCTTGGCAGGCTTGGGAGGTACATGGGACATTCTCTGGCATTGAACCTCTTCACCAGAGGGTCATCCTTTAGGTCTCACCACAAGAATCACTTCTCAGGGGAAGCCCTCTGTCACCCCCCATTACTGGGTCACACCCCAATGCAGACACCTCCTTGAGCGTCTCTGTCCCCCTGGCGTGTTCATGTACATGCTCTACTTCCACTCTGCGAGGCAGGGCTGCGCCTCCTTTTATGGAAGGAGGCACTAAGGTTCAGGCAGTTCAAGCAGCTTGCCCAAGGTCACACCGTTAGCATGTGGCCTTGAACTTCGGAGGCTGCTGCAGATGCAGGAAACATTGCCCCCAAATCCTTTGTTACAGCTGAACACCACTTAACAACGGGAACCTATGGACACCCAAAAGGACCAGATGAATCATCTCGAAGGACCCGATAAATATCGGTGCTGGGCCCAGGCATGAGGCTGGGGTTTTGTTTGGGACCCCACACCCACTCGGTGACAGGGCCCCAAGACCAACCTCAGCTGAACGGACCCCCCCCCACTTTCCCAAAGTCAGCTGTTTCTGTCCCTGCAAATGCCTCTGAAATGTCAATTGTGGGCCACTCTCCCTCCACCCTCCTCCTGCGAGTCATGTAGCAGCTCAAATATATTATACATATTAAAAGAATATATTCTCTGGCAGCCCTGAAGGGGATAATGAAACCTATATATATATATCTATATATTTATACACAATGGATTGGCTTGAAATGCTCTGAATATGCCTCCAGCTGTGGCAACCCTTTGAAATATGACACTCGAACAACGCCTCCCCCACTGGCGGCTGGCGGGAGACATTAAAGATTTAAAAAAGGGGGAAGGAAGGAAGGAGAGGAAGGAGAAGAAAAAGGAGGCAGCTGCTTTTGCCTTTGGCTGTGCAGCGGCAAACTGTGTTTAAATATTAAAGCCACCCATCACCCGGCCCAGCTGTCCGCCCCCTTCAGTGCCAGGGTCTCCGGTGGCTCCGCATGGCTGGGGGTTGTCATGCGCATCTAACCCCTCCAGCCCAGGAGGTGGGGGGGCAGCGAGGCGGGGGGCTTGCCTAGGCTTGGCTGAGAGCAGGGGCCTGGTGTTGGAGTGCGGTGGGGGGAGTCCGCTGCCTCTGAGACAGAAGGTGTAGGTTTGGATACAGACTCTGCCTGTTAGGTGCTGTGTGACCTTGACCTTGGGGAAATCTCTGTCTCCATCTCGGGGCTGCGGTTTCTTCATCTGTACTAGGAGAGACTTGGACTGCGTCCTGGGGCTTTAGGGGGCCTGTGAACCCTCAAAAATGACAAGCAGAATTGGGGCCAGGACAAGGGGAGCACAGGCGCACTGAGTGACTGGCCCTTCTGCGTGTTCCGAGCGTTGTTCCATCCCGACACTGGTGCTCTCGGGCTCAGGCAGGGCCTCGTTTCCTCTGCCTCTCCAGTTCCTGCAGGGGAGGCACTTTTGAAATGTTTGTTAATGATCAGAGATACAGGAAGGCACACCATGTCCCAACAACGCAATCGAAGGTGGTCAGAAGTGACGTGGCCTATCTTGCAAGGTGGTGAGCTCCCCGCCACTGAAGGAATTCAAACAGAGGCCAAGGGAGCTTTTTGGGAGCTCTTCAAGTCTAAGATCCAGGGGTCTAAGGTTTCAGAATTCCGGAATCTAAAGTTTCCATAACTTGAAGTTTCTGAAAGTCAACATTTCTAAGACCCTATGAGTCGAGAAACCTTTAATCCAAGGGGAGTCAAGATGGGACTTTCTGTGGGGAATGTAAGTGAGGGGCGGAGGGGCTAAGGAATGGATGTGAACTTTTATTTTGCTCCCAGGGTGAACCGACTACCCACAGAAAAGAAATCTATAAAGAAATCTGTGCAAAAGAGCCAAGTGGTTTAGCTTCTTTAACTTAGAAAAACACAAAATATTTTGTATCTCCAGACAGGACTGGAGCTCTGGTGGGAGTTTGGTAAAGGATGGATTCCTCTGTGTGCTGGCAACCCGCTTCTCCAGAAAAAATGCCTGAGTCTGCAGTGTCTGCCAATTTCCATGGTGCAAATATTCCCACCATGGTCGATTTCAAGTTTCTGACAGTTCAGCAACCAGTTCCTAAACTTCTTAAAAATGTAACAGTTGCCTTTTGTGACCTAGCAAAAGCTGGCTGCAGCGTGTCCTGGGAGGGGTGGCTGGCCAGGCCTCCATAAGTGAGCAGGGAAGGGACAGAGGGGTGTGGTATGGGCGCTTCTGTTCAAATGGGAAGAGGGCTGTGCTGACCTCAAGGTGACATCTGGATCCTGATGGGAAGGTTCCTGCCCCCGGGGAGGGAAGGACAGGGCTGCCTGTGCCCCTGTTGGCCAGGGAGGCATGCAAGGGCAGAGGCTGGGGTTCCCAGCTGCTGGGACTGGGACGGCAGCTGGGTGTGGGGCGGGTGAGGAAAGGCAGCAACTGTCCCTTCCCCAGACCCTCGCCTCAGCTGAGGCGGGACATTCGCCCGTTTCCCACTCAGTTACTCCATGAAGATTTATGCAGAGCAGGGATCACTGCTCCCATTTCCCAGATGTGAAAATTGAGACCCGAACAGGCAAAGGAATTTGTTTCCAACCACGTAGTTGCCAAGTAATAAAATAAATGTAGCTCAGATGGATTGCACGTTTACTCTGAGCCAGGTCCACACGCAAGAGCTTGATTTGTTGAGTAGGTCAGGGTCCCAGGAAGCAGACCTGAGATAAAGATCCCTGTGCAAGAGACTCGTTACCAAGGTGTGCCCAGGTGGGGGGACAGGGAGGAAGTGGCGTTGCAGAACAGGGCAGGGGAGGAAGCCAAGCAAGGGTCTGATGTCAGACAACGCCCTGGCCCAGCCTTGGGCATAGAGAGCACCCTGCAGTCAGTCCCACCTGGAAGCTTTCACATGCCTGCTCCGGCCAGTCATCGGCTATGGGCCACGCCAGGGGCACATGAACTGCCCGGCTCGTGAGGCTGCTGCGTCCCTGGTCAGGCCTCCCAATAAGGGGTCCTTATTGGCATCGAAACACACAGGAGCTTTGGTAACATGTCAGAGGGCTTGGCGGTGGGCACCGGCAGTGCCCACTCACATGCATTAGCTCATTTGTTCCTTACAGCAACCCCAGGTGGTACTGTCACCCCCACTTTGCAGATGGGGGCAATGAGGCACAGAGAAGTGGAGCTACTTGCCCGGCGTCACACAGCTGGCGAACGTCAGAGGCCTGTACCCAGCTCCTGTTCTCTTCTGGGAGGAAGGAGGTTGGTGGCTGGAGGGGCAGGGAAGGGGGCCACGGGGCAGGGAAGCAGCTGTCGGAGGAAGGGGAGAGAGGAGAGCAGGCTTTAAAAGATCCATTTGGACAGAGGTGAGAGAGAGAGAGAGAGCTACAAAGGAAGTACAGGGCTGAGGGCACAAAGAAGGGGTTCATACACATCTCTCTTCCCTTCCCCCAAAACATCCTAGGCCTAGTTCTCTGAGCCTCAGTCTTTTTCTCTGTAGAATGGGGTGAACAGAGGTACCTGTTCCTTCATGGTGCTGTTGAGAAAATTCAATAAGAAAGTGCCTGTCAAGCGCGTGGTCGGGTGGCCCACTGTGAGGACTGACAGCCACAGCTGCTCCTTCTGCCTGGCCAAGAGGCGCCAGCTGGGGTGCCAGATGTGAGCTGAGCCTCTGGCCTGGGGGACAAGGGGCCGCGCTAGGGCTGAGTGTGTGCGCGGAGGAGAGAGGAGAGGGCTGAGCTGGGGTGAGGCAGTGTCTTGCCGCAAGAGCCTGGGGGAGCCACCAACGTGTTTTCAGCAGGGACTGGCACGCCTGTAGCGTGGGTGTGGCTGGGGGCTGGAGGGGCAGCGGGGAGGCCGGGGAGGCTGCCGATGTCCAGGCAGGATGGGGACGATGTCATTGGGCTGGGACAGTGGCTGGCGCGGATGGAGCACGGGTCTGCAGTGTGGTGTGCCGAGCGCATGCGCCTGCGTGTGCGAGCGCGCATGGTCTGTGTGTGTGTGTAATGGTGTGTACGTGCGTGGGTGTGAAGTTGGGGGTGCGCGTTGTATTAGGGGGCTTGCATATTCGAGCATGTTTGCAAATATGTGCAGGTGTGTGGCCCAAACCTGGCAGGCTGAAGGGTGGCAGCGGGGCTGAAGGCCCAGCACTGGCTTAAAGGGCAGCCTGGGCACCCTACCCCAACACCGCCACCCCAGTAGCTGATTCTGAGGCCACGAAGGAGGCCTGATGACTGCTGAGTCCATCCTGTCACTACCATTGCCCTGGAGAAGGTGGGGGACCCTCTGGGTCTGGAGAAGAGACAGGCTGGAGGACTCAGGGATGGCGAGCAGAGCTGGATGGGCGTAGAGAAGGCCCGGCACACACCTAGGACGGAGCCACCTCCCTGGGCCTCTGTTTCTGCATCTGTGAATTGCCACTTGAAGAGCGGCCCCCAAAGATACAAGCTGGCCAGACCCTCCCAAGTCCGCTGGTGCAAACCCCACCTTACACAGAGACCCAGATTGGGCCATGAGTGTTGCCCGGGAGACCAATGACTGCTTGGGGGCAGACCCCAGGCCTCCTGTGGCCGCTTGAGTCAGGCCTCCCAGGAATTCTGGAACACCAGCAAGGGGCCCCCGTTCTCCGAGCATCACCCAACAGAGTACTCCAGCCTGTGGACAGGCCTGAGAGCTGACATCCCCTGGTTCTCTCGCAGGTTTCCAGGCATGTCTTCCAAGCCCGGAAGGACACAGGAACCCCGCCACCAGCCCTCACAGCCTGTCATCCCACCACGACAGAATCTGGCTCTGTGAATCTTTCAAATGTTTCTTTAAACAATGGAGGCACCTGACGTGGTGGCCCATGCCTGTAGTCCCAGCTACTCGGGAGGCTGAGGCAGGAGGATCCCTCGAGCCCAGGAGATTGAATTTAGCCTGGGCAACATAGCGAGACCCTGTCTCTAAAATAATAAATAAATAGAATTAAACATGCAGGTCATTTCGGGAAGTGTTCCACTTTCCATCCTGGTTGTCAATTATGACTGAGAGCAGGGAGTTGGGTTGGCCGCCCCATGGGGCCAGTTGATGGGGGAGGGGTGTCCTGAGGTCAAGCCAGGTCCCTGTGTGTGCACCGACAAGCCCTAGCCTGGGGGAAGGCTAGCCTCGCCAGCAAATAAGACAGGGAGAAGGAGGAGGGAGGAGCAGGTAAACTGAGGCAAAAAAGCTGGGGCCAGAGGAAACACCCTATTAACAAACACCTTAGTTAATATTGAACCCTAGTTAACAGCCAATGTCTTCATTAACTGTTAACACCCTAGTTAACTACGAACATCCAACTTAACAAAAACCTTGTTTGTTGTTGAACACCCTAGTACCAGTGAACACTCTAGTTAACAGCAAACATTGTTATTAACAGTTAACACCCCAGTAAACTGTGAACACGCTTCTTAACAAACACCTTGGTTGACAGCGAATGCTTTAGTCAACAATGAACACCTCCTAGTTAACGGTTAACACCTTCTTTAACAGTTAGCACCCTACTTAACAACAAGCACTGTAGTTGACAGCCAATCCTTTGGCAGGAACCGTTTCCAGCTGAAAGTGAGGAGGAGGCACTGGCTGAGGGTTTGGGGGGAGCAGGGGCTCAGGCTCTCCCTGCAGCAGCGGCGCCCCCAGGCTCCCGTCCCACCCCACACCCCCACTGGCTGCACGCTCTGCTCTGGAACCCCAGCTTGCCAAGGGAAAGAGGAGACAGCTGGAGTGTGCGATGCGTTATCCACTGCAGCCTAAATGCCCCTCGCTTCCCCGAGGGGAGCTCAAGGTCCCGGCAGGGGTAGTGGGGACTCGAGTGACTTGTGGTCTCTCTCCTGTCACCCTCCCTTCTTCCTGGGCTCTCTGTCTCTCTGGGCTCCTCTATCCCTGCCCTCTCCCCCTCTGGTCAGCCTGTCCAGCTCCCTTCTCCTCTACCTCACACTCCAGCTAACCCTCTCATTTCCAGATCCTTCTCCTCACCCATCATCTTTTCTCACACTCTTTCTCCGCCTTTATCAACTTCTTCCTCTGTCTTTCCCGCTCACTGCCTCTGTGCCCCTGTCTCTGTCTCTCTCCTCCCTCGTTCCCTCTCTATCACCCTCCAGATCTTAGTCCAAGCACCACCTCCTCCAAGAAGCCCTCCTTGCCCCTCCAGGCCTGGCTTATGTACCTGTGTCACACACTCTCCTGGGACCATGTCCCTTGCCTTGAGAGCCCCTTCTTCTACTTATGATGAATAATTACAAACCAGGGTCCATCTCCCCACCAGAATGTAAGTTCCTTGCTGTCGTGCCACTGCTGTATCCTCAGTGCCTGGCATACAGTGGGTGCTTAATAAATGTTTTTGACATAATTGCCTTTCCCTCTGCTCCTCCTACTCTCTCTGCTTTGTCCCAGCTGCCCAGGTGCTGGGCCAGAGACCCCTCTGCTGGTCCCTCCTCCTGCTCCCCACTGCCCCGTCCCCACAACTCCAGGTGGCCCAGGGCGGGCTTTGGCTCTCGGCTTGCTGACCCAGGACCCGACTGCTTCCAGAGTGGGGACCGGTGCTGTGTCCATAGTCCCTAGACTGCCCAGCCAGGCGGTGTTCGTTACACTCTGCTTGAGGGAATGAATGACACAAAGAGAAAGGGATTTGCCGTTCCAATCCCAGCTCTCCCTGCTTGGCATGCCCTGTGACCCTGGGCAAGTCACGTCATCTGACTTTCTCTTTCTCCATCTGTGACGTTGACCGGGGACCAACAAAGACACCCAACGGGAACATGCTTTGTACACCATCGAGTGCCTGGTTGGATCTGTGACCACTGGATGTGAGTACAACATTTTCCTCCCCTCTCTGGGCACCAAGGGAATGAGAATTCAGTCTGCAGCCCCCAGGGAGCCCAGGCTGGGGGGTCTGGAGGTGCTGGAGCCCTTCAGCGAGGGGGGAAGCTGGGGGAAGGAGGAAGGTGTTGTTTCAAGCTAAATCATTCCTGTGTGCTTTACTGAGCACCTGCTGTGTGCCGGGCACTGTCAAGGCTCTCGGGCTGCATCAGCAAAGAGAGCAGCACTCTGCTCCGGGCTCCGGGCTCCGGCGCAGCCGTTTAGCAGATGAGCGCTGAGCACCTGCTGTGTGCCGGGCGCGGCAGAGGCGCCGGGACAGAGGAGTGGCCCTGCCCGGCCTGACCCTGACCCTGACCCAGTGTTCCGTCTCTGTCCACTGCCCAAGGTCACCTGTGCTGGGAGTGGAGGAGCTGGTCCAAACCCTCTAGGGCCCTAATTTTCTGTGTACCTTGGGTTCTACCTGTCCTCTCTTTGCAAGTCTCAGTTCCCCTGTCTGTGCCCCGAGTGACCTTGGAGACCATCCAGCAGTGTGGGTCAGGGGCAGGGAGCTGGGGACAGGGAAGGTCGGGGGTGGGGGTGCCCAGGCTAACTCACATCCCTGCTCTGGCAGGCCAGCTCGGCCTCCGCGGAACTTTCCCTGCTGCTCAGTCCGGAGGTGGTTCTCATTATTGGCTCCAAATGACTTTTGCATCCATTTATTTGCTGCATTTTGATTTTGCATTCAATTTCCGGTCCATTCATGGTGTCTGCGCTGCCTAGGGGATGCGAAATTGAGGCAGCCGGGAGCGCAGTTTGGACACGCCTGACAGCCACCGCTCCTGGGAGGAAGGGACGCTTGGCCGACTCCGCAGGGGGAGGGCTGGGGAGCAGGGGCTGCCGCCCCCCACTCCCCCAGCCAAGCCGGAGTCTGCCAGATGGGCCTCCCGCCCCGAGGCCGGGCTCCCCACTCCCTCCACTCCAACACACGCTAGGCACCTAGCCAGCACCTGGGGCCTCCGGGCAACTCGGGCTCTGCGTTTCACAAAGGATTCGAAATCCTGCTGGAAGGTGCTGGAGCATTTGAGCAAGGGGACCAGGGTTGGAGTCCCAGCTTGACCCCTCCCACCTCTCTTGTCCAGTCACTCTCAGTGGGGTCTTACTAACAGTCAATCTGACCTTGCCACTCTCCTGCTCAAGAGCTTTCCATGGCTCCCCATTGCCCTCAGGCTTGGATACAAGGTCATGGCCTTCCAAGCCCTATCCGCACCAGCCTCTTCTCTCAGGACTTCCTAAGTCCCAGTGCCTCCTGGTGGCTCCCAGGGGCTCATATTTCCCCAGGTCCTAGCCCCTTGCCCAACCCATTTGTCCCACCTTGTCCTCTAGGCGAATTCCCAGACACTCTTCACAAATAGTGAGAACATCAGGTGACCCTCTGTACCAGGTGTCACACCTAGTGCTTTATGTGCCTTATTCACTTGGCACTCACAGCCCTTCTAAGAGCAATCCTCACTCCCAGATGTCCTGAAGTCAGCAGTGGCTCAGAGAAGTCAAACAAGTTACCCAGGGTCACACAGCAGGATGCTGGCGTGGGCAGTCCCACTCTGGAGCCCACGTTCCTGACCTCAGGGCCTCAGAACCCAGCTCAGCACCCACCTCTCGGAGCCCCTCCAACCACACGCTCGCAGACACTCTCCGTCCCGCCCACCCTGCTTCCCAGCAGACGGACCCCCTTTGCCGCCCGGGGCTCCTGTTCCCAGGAGGTTTTTGCCTGTTGCATTTCCACGCTGTTCTTGTTTTTGCTCGTCTGGCTCTGTCATGAGATGCTGAGCCTGCTCGAGGACAGTGACAGTGGGTCCCCAGTGCCCAGCACGGGGCTTGGCGCGAGAGGGCAAACATAAACCAGGCTTATTCTCGTCGGGTACCCGCAGAGACCGTGGGAAGAGGAGATGGAGCAAGAGCTGCAGACAGAGCTCGTGTGGCTTCCGGGCAGGCGGGGTGTCATTACACAGAGAGGTGACACGAACTGCCCAAGCCACACAGCAATGATCCGCAGCGTCCACACTGTCTTCCCTGAGGGGTCTCCAAAAGCGCACCATCACCGCCGGCTCCGTGTGGCTCCGTCCTGCCGCCCCCCAGGCTCGGAGTCTGGGGGAGAAGGGGCGCCCGAGGGGGAGAGGGTGCTGACAGAGGCCGTGCATCACACTGGCGGTGAAGGCAGAGAGACGGAGCGATTGTTCTTCAGGGTTTGCAGGTAAATGAGGAGGACAGAAACGGATGGCAGCCTTTGGCAGCGAGAGGCCTGGGGCCCGGGAGGCCGGCCACGACTGCTGGGCAGTGCGGAACGCGGATGCCCCTTCCCAGCCACCCCCGCCATTCCCACCCCAGCTGCCGTCCTGCGCAGAGGGGAGGAGGAGCCCAGACGAGAGGAAGAGGTGACAAAGGGTGGGTAGGGATGAGGGTGTCGTGAGGTGGCCTGGGTCTGTGCTGCTGACTGTGTGACCAGGGTAAAGTCAGGCCCTTTCCCGGCCTCAGTTTCCCCTCTGGCACAGTGAGTGACCAGGGACTTTCCAAGGGAAGAGTCATAATCTCAGCTGACAGGTGTCTCTGGGCCTCTGCCTTGTGAGGGGGGAATCTTGGGGAGAGCCGGGAGGGGCTCCCCCAAGCCTCGATAGTCCCTAGCTGTCCTGTAGGGCCTGGGAGGGTCTGGAAACTAAACACGACCTGGGCAGACGCTTCAGGAGCCCCACACTGACTTTTCCTGCTTCCAAATTGTCCCTGAACCTTGAGGTTTGGGGAGCTTAGAACCACAGGACCAGGAAAGCTCATTTTCCTAGAAACCCAGGTTCCTCAGCTCTGACTACAGCGGGTACAGCTCTCCATGCACTCCCAGGGGTGCAGGGAATGTCATTTCCCTTGTGCTGAAATGTCACAATGGGATCTCCATTTCGAAGCCCTGTTCTGCCTGGGTGCAGTAAACCCAGGCACACTGGCCCCCTCTTTCGTGGAGTTGGATGACATTCTGGGGACTGCCACAGGCCATGGGGGAAGAGAGTT